ATATATACCAAGCCCTTCCTTTTAAAAGTCCTGATTCATAAGATGATGATGATGATTATTATCATTATTGTTATTGCTATTATTATTATTATTATTATTATTATTATTATTATTATTGTTATTATTATCCTTTTTATTATCATCATTGTCATTATTATCATTATTATTATCTTTTCTATCGTCATTATTTTGTTATCATTATTACTACTATTACCACTAAGACTGATATATATATCAGGTTGATGTATACATAATATATATATATATATATATATATATATATATATATATATATATATATATGTGTGTGTGTGTGTGTGTGTGTGTGTGTGTGTGTGTGTGTGTGTGTGTGTGTGTGAGTGTGTGTGTGTGCATATATGTATGTATAAGCATACCTATAAATAGTTTTTTAGCTATTTATATATTTTCTAATTTTTTCAGGTGGAAGTAACCAGTCCATGCTTATTACGTAAGTCTCGCTTTACTCATTTGTATTTTTATAATGACCTACATACACACATTCATATTCATATATATTTGTATAACAGTTGGAGACATACTTATTCAAGAACTTTTTATAAATGCATATGTATGCTTTGTCTGATTTCATGAATGAAAATTAAATGAAAAATTAAATGAAAAATCTCTTGAATCATATTTACCTCATTACACTTGCAGCGGTGAGTCTGGCGCCGGCAAGACCGAGAACACGAAGAAGGTGCTGTCCTACTTCGCCAACGTCGGCGCTTCTGGGAAAGTGAAGGAAGGCGAAAAGAAAAAGGCAAGATTTGAGTTTGTAAGGAAAAAAATGTAATATTCTCAATGAAACCTCATTATGTAGTTGTACTAACAAGTTTCTTCAATATCTTTCTCGTTCAGAATCTGGAGGATCAAATTGTGCAGACGAACCCCGTCTTGGAGGCCTTCGGTAACGCCAAAACCGTCAGAAACGACAACTCTTCCCGTTTCGTAAGTTGCAAGCAATTTCCTTTCGCAATGTGACTATGATTGGTATCTATATACGTAATATGGTTTTAAATATCGTCGACTTTTCTTTCTCACAGGGAAAGTTCATCCGTATCCACTTCGCCCCCAACGGCAAGCTCTCCGGCGCTGATATCGAGGTGTACCTGCTGGAGAAGGCTCGCGTCATCTCCCAGCAGTCACTCGAGCGCTCCTACCACATCTTCTACCAAATGATGTCCGACCAGATCGTAGAAATTAAACGTAAGTAGGTGGGAGCTTGGGTTATGAAAATGACCTTTTGCAAATAATAACATTTTCTTAATTAAATCTTTAAACATTGAGTTATTTTTTTCCTAGCATTAAAACGTTAGAGTTAAATACGTTATATCAAGCTCAATTTCTTTCATATCATTTTTCTTGCCTGATTTCAGCTATATGTCACCTGAGTAACGACATCTACGACTACCATTATGTGTCCCAGGGGAAGGTCACAGTTCAGTCTATTGACGACAGAGAGGACATGCAGTTTACTCACGTGAGATTTTATTTCAGTCTGCTTTGTAAACTTACGTTGTTGTGATATGTATCCATTGTAGTATTCTTTCAACCGGTATGCGTCTGTGTGTGTGTGTACAAAAAATATGCACACCGTAACTGAATGATAGTTTGTGTACCCAAAGCCGTGGTTACATTGGCACCTATGTGCAACCACCGCATCGTCAAAACAACGGTGCCTCGTGAGGGCTACCCAAATAAACAGAGGGCTAGAACAAAACCGCATTAAGAGACATACATATACTGTACTGGCAAGATACTCCCTGACCTTTGAAATCATGTACACATGTGAGATGTACTGGTGCAATCAGATAATATAATAATGTCAGATAATAATGCTGACAGTGACTCCAGAAAAGGCCAACAAACCTCAGTCAAATACAAATTGTTTTGATAGTGCCTGTGTGCCTATCCATGGTAACTTACTGTTAAAAGAAAAGAAAAGAAAAGAAAAGAAACTGCCAATGATCTATGGCTCTACTTACCTAATTAGTTGTTAGTCTATGCCAAAACGCAAAGCCTGGCGTCTACGGTGATCGTTTGATGCATTCCTTTTAAAGTTGGCTCCCATTCATGTTATGGTTTTATTACTCCATGTCGATTTGTACACATATGTATGCGTGCATACATCTCCGCGTATGTCTGTATATGTATATCTAACATTTTAGATGCTTCATATATATGATGTATGCCGGATAAAAACCCTCGAGTAATATGCTGTCCATCTCTTTTCAGGACGCCTTCGATATTCTGAACTTCACCCATACTCAGAGAGACAACTGTTACAGGATAACGGCAGCTGTTATGAACTTCGGTTGTTTGAAGTTCAAACAGCGAGGTCGCGAAGAGCAAGCTGAACCAGACGGCACCGATGTAAGTCCCTTTGTCATTCGGCTTCTATGACCATTGAGGAAATGCGACAGGAACGTACATTTCTGTGGCCATTTTTAGCGCACCTTCAAAATATTCCCATTTCCTA